ACTATCATTTCGTATTTTCGCACGCGGGAGAAGGTCGCACCTTTTACGCGAACCTCAAACACTAAGTGGAGTCTGAGTCTTCGGACAATTTGTCTTTAATTCAATATAGCGAGCAAAACTTGTTTCGTCTTGCGATTGTATATCATACACCACGAAATTGAAAATCACCTAATTTAGCTGAGAGTATTACTCCGCGATTCCATTCCAGCTCTAAAAAAGTGGCGTGAACGTTTTTTAGAGCAGATCTCTTATGCCTACTCGTTGGAAAATATTTGCCCTTCAAGCGTTTGGCTTGAGCTGAAGCGTCAGAACAGTAGTGGTGTTATGATTACGCTAAAAGCTGTAATACAACTTCGCTGACTCCTGACAGTCAGGATTGTTATATAGCTTATATCATGGCACATAGCTTAACCTGTTTTGTGTATACCGCTATAATTTTAAACCTTTCTTTTTTTTGAATCCTCTAGTATAAAACTCTCGCTAGGCATCAAATATTATTGCTATAATTGAGCGTATCAATTTTTACCTATTATTGTGAATAGTTGAAAGCCTCAGTATTAGCATAAGCAATCCCTTAATAAAGAGTTGCACCAGGCCACATAAAAATGTCATAATACTTTTGGGCCTTTCAAGTTCCGACACGTACAAATATCTAACTTTGGTGATATACATCTACTAAAACTTGAAAAAAAAAAACATCGCGATGACTGACTAGGCCCTTTCGTCTTAGTAGAATAACTACTGCCTGCTAGACTTGCTTGAATGGCGTTTTCTAGCGGAAAGTGGTAAAGAAAAAGAAGTGCCTTTCTTTCCTGTCTCTTTGGTGGATCGTATCATTCCGCTAAAGGTTCATTGAGAATGTAATCTTCCTCTTACTGCTAGTTGGCCACTTCCTATTGCTAGGTCTCCTTCCGAGTGCTTGCGCAGCGCACTAATACTGCCCTCTCCCGAACCGTTAAGAGAATGTCGACCTTGAGCTGTCAGTTTTCCAGGATATGGACAAGCATCGTTTGCTCTATAAAAGGAATAATGCCCTGGGACGAGCAGCCACCCTCTTTTGGGGTTACTATCGCGTTGTTTGGTCTTGTTCTCACTCTAATGGGCTCAGTCTGCTCCGTCCTTGCGCCCAGACGTCGCGACTTCGTTTGTGAGATCCCTGTTGCTTGAACGTATGCGTATATGCCATCATTCGAGTTAGGTTTGTTACTAGTCGGCGTCATTTGCTGATTTTTTCACGCGATAGCGTTAAATAGCTCGTCTCGCCGGTATTCCGGCGTCGCTGTCGTTGGTTGGGAACGAAAAGTCATTTTATGCGTGACCAAAAATCGAGAATGATGCAAATAAAATAAATAATAACAAATACCGCGGCAGAGTGGGAATCGAACTCTTGTTTAGATTCGAGTGGGGTTTGAACTCGGGTCATTTGCGTGACAAGCGAATGTTCTACTGCATGGTCACGTGTATTTTCTTTTCTCTCTTACATGGTATTTATCACAAATGCGGTTTACGTATATACGTTTACACAACATACGTATATACGTTTACACAACATACATAAGGCCGCTTCGACAAGTGTACAATCAACATTACAAAGCAAATACCATACAACACAATGTCTAAAGGGGTATTTGAGCAGCACACTTCACGAACTTTGTGTACAAGTCAAGTCCGGCTGCATGAAACTGCAGTTGATCAAAAAATTTTAAGCTGCACAGTCAAGGTGCATCGCGAAGACACCATTGGTTCTGCATGCCTGTTTAACATGCGAGTTTTCTATAAACCATGCGTGCCCGTTCACAACAGCATTGTCAACTAATATATCATTGCAATTTGGTTTGTGAATACAATGAAAATAACTTCTGCTTGAAAATGCAGTGAGAGTAACTGTGATGCCTTATCAAACGCTCGCGTCATGTATACTTCCTTCACAATACAACGGCCCCGCCGCGGTGGTCTAGTGGCTAAGGTACTCGGCTGCTGACCCGCAGGTCGCGGGATCAAATCCCGGCTGCGGCGGCTGCATTTCCGATGGAGGCGGAAATGTTGTAGGCCCGTGTGCTCAGATTCGGGCGCACGTTAAAGAACCCCAGGTGGTCGAAATTTCCGGAGCCCTCCACTACGGCGTCTCTCATAATCATATGGTGGTTTTGGGACGTTAAACCCCACAAATCATTCACAATACAACATGAAATGTTGCAGCAATAATGTGGGGACTCGCTCTCTGGATTTCGTGCCGATCGGTTGTGTCCCCGCGATCTCCGACGACAGCGCAGCTCTGGCTGACTAAGCTCGCCCTACGTCCTCTCCTGACGCCGACAAGAGCTCTCAGCCGAGTGGTGCCCCGTCCTCGGACTCCGTGCGACCGTGTCCATCTTTCCTATCTCCTCTTTAGTTCTGTCGTTTTCTGTCGTTTGATGTCCCTGCGCCTCACTCTCTTCCTTCCTCTTTCTCTATGTATTTACATTTTAATTTTATCCTTTTAATCCCTCCCTAACCCCCACCCCTCGTGAGCTACTGTTGAGGTGTCCTCCCCCTGAGATACAGTTACGGAGCTCACTTTTCTCTTCTTTTTATTTAAAATCGCTCACACTTACAAAAATGCTTGGTACAGGCATCCATTTCTAGCGGGCGTCAGAACATGTGATTATCATAAAGACTTCGTGGTTTAAAACCTGTCACCCGCTATGCAAAAGGCACACACGCTATACCGCCTATTCCCTTAAGGTCACGTACTGGGTGCAAGTTCGAAAAGGTTTCATGCACTAAGCGTTTTAAGCACGCATTATGAATAGGACATCGCTATCACGCTCAACTCTTAAAGGCGGGGCTTTAAGGTCCTCCAATTTTTACAGGGGCCTCATTGACGTGCTCCGTATATGTATTATATATCCAATACGCGGTGTGGTTCAACATAAAAACGAACACAATGAATATAAGAATTAGACTTTCCGCGTAAGCCGATGTAGGAAGAGAGAGAGAGAAAGAGATAAAGGTGCAAGGAAAGGCAGGGGAGGTTAACCAGACGCACATCCGGTTTGCTACCCTGCACTGGGGAAGGGATAAAGGGGAGAAAAGAGGTTGCAGAGAGATGAGAAGGTACACACAATCACGAGCACCCGATGTAGGAAGCGGAGTAAACAAACTACCTCCTGGCTTTACAACCGGGAAGAACGAATTCTCACGCCAATATACATATTGCCTGGATGGCACGAAAACAGTGCGAGTTCCTGTCAAGTCTTTTGTAGGTTTATTGAACAGATTTCTCAAAACGCTACACAGATGCTGATTATTCGCTCCCAACCAATGACGCTCACAACAACACCGACGCTGAAATTTCTGAGAAACAAACTTTTCAATGCTATCGCATTGAACGCTACAGACGGCCACGTGCGGTCCTTAGCTTAAGTTTTTTTAGGTTTCATTTGTTGTGTATTACACGAGGGCCCATCATTGCGCGTTCATGCAGTTCAAATTCATGCGAGGTTCACAATGCCTGTCTTAGTGTTAAACACAGCCTTTTTGACATGTTTGATAAACATGGTATTGCAGATTTCGTCGTCCACAATGAAAATATGTAAGCAACAGCAAAGACAATTCTCGGCCCACGTGCAAACAGAGCCCCAAGCTCAGTGCCCGAGTTCGGAATGCCTTCAACGTACCCCGGCTTGTCAGCTCCTTCCCGCCACTTCTGTGCAGCTCACGTCATTCGTCAAAACTCGCCGCTGCTGACGGAGCTCTTTCACGCGTTTTATTTGCAACGCAGTAAATTGGTGCGATCCCACTGTGGAGAAAATGAGAGCTTCAAAAGGGCACTTTCAGCCGGTTCAAACCGGAGAAGTTTGAAAAATACTACAATTATGTTTTGTTTTTCTTTGCACACATTGGGCTCTACGGCGGATCCACCAAGAGGGTAGTTTCGCAAGCGCGTGCTTTTTTAATAGTATAAGAATCAAGCTGATCACAGACATAAAACGAAATAAGCACGTACAAGACATTGTAAAGTGGAAGTGATTGCACTCTACGGGATATAGAAATATCCTGATGATAACTACTTTTAAGATAAAAATTATTGAGTAGACCATGCTCACATTGCATAGTTCATGACTATGACTCCCTTTTCTTCTGTTCTACGGGGCATTTCTTTTTGTCTGGCCGCGGCAGATCAAGGAAAAAAAGAAAGTCGCATGACGGGCTTCATGCGGGAGACGTGCACAACTTCAGTACTTGGGTAACGGTGGTCTGCTAGGGCTACAGGTGGCGTTACGCGATGATTGGCGAATGAAGTCTCTTCGAGAATAGTGTACGGCTCGATAAACCCTAGCTGAAATTTGTCGCACAAACTAGGTGTGCGAATAGGCGTCAAGAGAAGCACTTCGTCGCCAGGTCGAAATGACACAGCACGATGGGATTCATCGTAAACCTGTTTTCTCTCTTGCTGCCTGGTTTCAATATTCATGCGAGCACGTTGGCGACACTGAGCGAGTCGTGAAATGTATTCTTCGGAAGCGGATGGAGATGGATTCGCGTTGCAAGTAAAAAAAAAAGCGTACAGAAAGGAAGTATAGGGCAGCGTCCGAAAACTATATAGGTAAAATGGTGAGTAGCCTGTGTTCGGCTGAATGGCCGTATCATAGGCAAAAGTAACGATTGGTTGAATTGCGCCCCAGCTCTTGTGGTGCTGGTTGAAAATAGGCTGTGATCATGTAGGCAAGGGGGCGGTGAAACCGCGCTAGTCAGGCTGTCCAGTCTGTGCATGATAACTAGAGCTGGTCATGTGAGTTGTTCTGGAGGCGCGAAAAAATTCATTCACTAGTAGTGAGTGGAAAGCTTTTCCATGGTTGCTAAGCAAAACACGTGGAGCACCATGTCCTAGTATACTGGCTTGACGAATGAAATCTGCGAGTTCAGACGTTGAACCAGTAGTGACCGATGCCGTCTCGGCGATATATGTATCGGTGATATTAAAGTCGGAATCGCTGCATTTTTCTCATCTTTTGCAGGTGAACACAGTGTTCCTGGTAAACATCATTCGCATTCTGCTCACCAAGCTCCAGTCAAACACCTCTATCGAGACCATGCAACTCAGGTGAGTGTTTCGTTTCTTGTGCCTAAGCGAGCCATTCGGATAGGACCCTGCACTGCATCGACCACAACGCAGAACCAACTGCTTCTGTTTACCATTCTTTCGTAGTCGACGCAGGAACCCTTCATCAACACAATGGCAAAAAAGCACCTGCGCCTAATAGAGTAACGGGAAGATTATGTTTACTAGTAAGAGACAGAATAAACTCAGTGGCTGACAGTATGAATATGGCAACGGGAAGATTATGTTTACTAGTAAGAGACGGAATGAACTCAGTGGCTGACAATATGGCACCCCGCTCGCAGGGTCTTTCAACGTGGTCTTCTTCCATGTCCTCTTCGTCGTCCACCCCTTACATAATTTTTCTGCCGCTGGAGCACCGACCCGGCGCTAATCAGGCACCCGAGCGATATGGCTTCAGCCACGTAACATTCACCATGTCAGCATGAGGGTGAATAATGGCGGCATTCGTAGGGGTGATCTCGTAGGGGACGTCGGTCACTCGGCGCAAGATGACGTAAGGGTCTGAATAGCGCGAGAGTAACTTCTCCGAAAGCCCTACGCGGCGCGAGGGGAACCAAATCAGGATGAGATTACCGGGTGCGAAGTGAACGTCATGATGGCGGGCATCACATACACGCTTCCGATTTTCCTCGGCGTCCACTAGTCGTCGTCGAGCAAATTGGCGCGCCTCTTGAGCATTCGTTATTGCGTCCGGACCGTACTCAGACGTGTGTTTAGTCCGGTCGGCAGCAACGTGTCAAAGAGTAGCACAGGGTAAAATGGAGTAAAAATGGAGAGTCTAGGTGCGAAGCCAGGTGCGAATCATACATTGGCAGCTTAATGGAAAGATTGATTGAGGGATTGATTAATTCAAGGATTTATTTTAACGCGTTAACGTATAGGCCACAACGGGGCAAATAGATCCTCCCAGTGAAAGCGGTGGTAACCCAAGGCAAAATTCAGGAAGCTTTCCAATTCTAATAACTAATATTTTTCTCATTGGTCTAATGTTTACACCATCTGTATTATCTGAACTTTGTTCATTACAGCTTGAGTGTTCTAACAATTTCATTAAAACAGGCCCCAGAGGTTCTTATCGTGTATTATCCAATCCCTTCCGCTTTTGTTTTATGCCATCCTTCTTTTGTGTGCGCGATTCATTCTAATCTAAACGCTGAATTTCATAAAACAAGAACTTGATTCATTTTTTAACATGATGCACTGGGACGACCGCTCAGCAATACTCATCAGGAACGTTAGAGCTAAGCTACACTCCTCCTGGTACAAATGCAAAAAAAAAAACGTCTGATTTCGTGAATGTGAACCCCAGGCTAATCTAAAGTCATTCTGGGCGTCTCTGAGCTGCTGTCAGTGACACAGAAACCTATTTACACATATGGTGCAATGGTACTCGCTTATGATACTGTCCCTGCATATGCTATACAGGGACACTGTCAAACTGTATAAACTATATATGCTATGCTGGATATGTTATATATATACAGTTCAGCTGATGAGTTTGCATTTACGTTTATGCAGCGTATCGAAGCGCATCGGTTCCGGGCTTTGGTGAAATGCCAGTCACACTGATGAAAAAAATGCTCCCACTTCCCCGAAGGAAATTGTGAGGAAATGCGAATGCATTTCTTGCGCCGAGAGAGGGTACTATTGCCGTCAGATGTTCGCCTTCACGGATTTCTTCCAGCGCCTTGAGGGGCGCCCAGCCAGCGAACGGTTGAGAGTGAAGAGCGAGCAGACGGGAGAGTGAGGTGCCAGCGTTCTCGGCTCGTTGGGGTTTCACAGCGGCGTCTCGAGGACACATTTTCTGACGTTCTTGAGAGGCGCCCAGCCAGCGAACGGTCGGGAGTGAGGCACGAGTGAACGGGAAAGTGGGACACAGGTAGGAGAGAGAGCGAACAGCGAAAGAAGCATCGGTGAAGCACAGCGCCTACCCTCTCATACTCTCTCCTCGCACCACATGTTCCGGTTGCTAGGGGCGAGGATAAGCACGTGCGCCCGCAGCTGTTGCTATGGAAGAGGGAGTGAGAGCGGAGATATAACACCCGCCGGTGCACGGACCCCACTGCAGACAACGCTGGATGCCTGACATAGCCCAACTAAAAATGCATTTGCATTTAAAATTGCTTTCGCATGCGTGTCCGCAAGCTGGATCAAAGTGCAGCTGCGCGTGAGACATGCTGAAGCTCAACGTCAGAGGCTTGCCGACAGGATGCCGTAGTTCGGGAGCACAAAGCGGAAGCACATCGCCCCTGAGGCTACTCGTCTTACTTTGTCAATTATTCCAGTTCAAAAGAGTAGTTAGCTGGGCCTTCTCGTACGGAACCATGGTATTAAGCCGCGCGAAAAACTAGACACACGCAGGAAGGTATTCCAGTTCATTGGTATAGAATTATTGCTTCACCATGCCGGTGACACATCGTATTTTTCAAACAATAGCTTGCATGAAGCTTCGTAGAGCTTGCATGATTAGTTTTATACTAGAGTGTTCGTGACAGACCCGCTAGGCCTCGATTCTTCACGCCAATGACTTGCAGCGTAGAACGTGATCGAAAGTGAAACTGGAGCACTCACGTAAGTACAAATGAAGAAACAAGAGACAGCGTCACTTCCGCACGTGTGCTTTATTCGCTACTCTTGCAGCAAAACATGCGGGTGATTAACGACGTAGGATGAGCTGCCACACTGAAGGAGCCCATAAAAACAAGACGTAAGAATGCAATGTGCCTGTGAGAACTACACAGCACAAGCTATGTGCTTCTAGCTGATAGTTTCCATGATCTGAATAATACATGCTTAAGAATCAGTACAGAATAACCGAAACAAAAGCAAAGAGAGCGCGATCAAGACTACTGGTGTCACAGACACCTGCTTTCCAGCCGAACGTCTGGAAAACATTCCATTAGCAGATCTCTAGCAGCGTTTCTCCGAGTTGCAGCTTTTATACGTAGTAAGGAAGCCCTTCACTTGCACAGCAAGACTGTGGCGGCGACGTGCTCGAGTGAATAAGTGGGAGCTTCGTATGTTTAGATGTTTACACTTAATGTTTACGCATTCAAGTATATACGCACTGAGTTTTCAAGTGAGCTCATCGGACGAGCACTGGAACGACAGAATGTATTACTAGTTGCAATTCAGAGCAAAACATTAGGCTTTGTATGGAGATCGCACAAGATTGGTTCCTGTATTGACGGCTTTTACTGGAGTAGGGGATAATGGGAAGATTAAAGTTAGGAAAGTCTATAGTTAGATGTAGACCTGTAAAACCACGCACTTTCGAAATGTGGTTAGTTATCCGCAACTTCAGACTACAATATAGTATGTGCCACTAATATGCAGGTGTGTGCCTCAGGTGATTGGCACCCAATATCTACCCCGGGATGACAAGAACACACGTGGGCAATTTTGCCAAGTGATGAAATTTTTCAGGGGCGAAGCTCCTTATGGCATGGCTTGTGCATCCCCGAAGTGCGTAACCTGCGGCACATACCCACATACCAGTGGCACATACCCGCCCTAAAGCACATATCTGCATGTTTACATGTTACGAAAAACGTAGCACAGTGTCGTTATCACGCTCTCGGTGTTAAAGTGCTGACCGCAGAAATGTGCTGTTAAAGCGCTGGCAGCAGAAATAGTCTCGCTTAGTCCTTGTATTGTGCGCTGGATTGTGGTACTTGTATATGATGCATATATGATAAAAACAAGCGAGATGGCGGTACTTGAAGTGTCCACTAGACAGACAGACAGACAGACAGACAGACAGACAGACAGACAGACAGACAGACAGACAGACAGAAAGACAGACAGACAGACAGACAGACAGACAGACAGACAGACAGACAGACAGACAGACGTTCGCCCCACTCATCATCATTCATTCCGTGGTTATGCTGTAATTGTTTTTAAAAAGCCATAACCATAAAGTTTATTAGTCTGCAATATGAAGCACTTCCACTTAAACATCTGTGAGCATTATAAAGTGAGTCGTATGTCTTGTTAATTTTTCATAATTAAAACTTTTATTAAAGTATGGCTTGCGCGAACACTCCTACTGTAAGTGTCGCTCCCTGAAAAAAAAATATTGCAGGGACAAAAAAGTATTGGTCTGGGCACTGAACTAAAACAAATGAGATCTGATGAATAATGAAAGCATGGTAATTAAATAACCAATTAAGTATGCACTCGCACTCGGGGCATATTCGTATACCAGGCAGCCAAATCTAAATCTTTTTTTTTTTCGTAGAAGCTTCATTGCCTTTCAGACTTCATCAGACAGGATCCTATCTCAGCCCGGCTTTTGCATAAATTTTATCCGACATTTATCCCGATAACTCCTGCAAGCACTGCAACAAATTCGCCAGCCTAGACCATATTCTCGGGCGTTTGCCCTCGTTACGAGGCATGGACCAATCCAATGAAGGCGGTTGGCTATCCGCTATCAAAAGCCCCGTGTTGCGGATCCACTGTGGGCTGTGCAGAGGGCCCACGATGCGGTGGTCGGACTTGGCCTGACTGTCCCAACGTGTGAATGGCTCGCTGGGCTTTGAGTCATGTACCTCTGGACTTACAATAGTTTCTCATTCATCCATCCATAGCAGCTTCGTGATTTATGATCGCTCACTGATAGTTAGCATTTGGCTTCTGCCGTTGTTGCAGTGATGTCGCGTTATTTTTCGTTGTATTTAATTATTAGTAAACTTTCCACGGATGTATGCACTTATGGTAAGAGTGCGAGCGGTATCACTTTTCGAAATGTCACATGAGCATCACTAGGTTAATTACCTACTTCGGCTTTTTTCCCACTCACCTTTTTTACTAACCACGACATTGTAATCTGTTTCTCAGAACGTTTTGCACCTTGCTCTCACTATTTCAGACTGTTGTTTCTGATAATATAAGCCCTCGCTTGAAAGCAGCATTCATTATTTAAGATTCAATGCGGCGAAGTTAACGAGGCAAAAATATTAAGTAGAGCTGTA